CATGATTAACTACATGTAAATCCCCCCCATCCATTTTTGTTGCCCCACGTAAAAGTGGACAAGGGACACTACCAAGGTAGATCTTCCGCGCTCGCCAGAACAACCTATCCAGATCTTCCACTCACGAAGGAGCATAAGGATGCAGGAAGAAAAAGTGAAGTGCTATTTTTATTCGCCCATTCACCGACGCGCGGCCGCGGGGCCATGCCGGTGATCTCCCCAAGAGGAACGCCGCCCACCCAAACAATCTCGTGCTTATTCTCTTATTGCTCAGCAGTTATTGCAGTAGCAGGAGTGGTGGTAGTGTTCTTGAACTCAAAAAAGGAACCGCATGTGGGTACAGTCGAATATTTACTTTCTTTTTCTTGCTTCTGGCTGGGTAAACATCCATGAACAGGAATTAAGCAGGTATCGAGGCCAAAACCCAATGTGTGCGTGGGGTAGAGAGGGTACAATCAATCGCGCGAAGTGGGGTTCCATAAAAATGTGGTGTTATCGCGATAAAAGAAGCAGCACTTTCAGCCTCTCGAGGATGATCGGTAGCGTCATCTACTGGCTGTGCTTGCATAAGATTCAAAGTTAACCTTGCATTTCCGTGTGTGCTTGAGTGAAGGCCTTTCTAAATATGGCAACATGCCGTTCTTTCTGGGCTTGTGATACTTCCTTTTGCTTTCCCTTTCTGCCGCGAGGATTCCAAGCCGCTTGACGTTGAACGGTATGTCTTGGATTGATCATATCACCCTAGAGTACAAGCCCTACATACGTCTCTTCTACTCACTGCGTCCTCTTGCGGCAAGGGATTCTTCTGATCATTGAGCGGCCAATTTACATGTTATAGCGACATGCGAATCATGCAATAAGGTTTTGAAGGTTGTACCCGTACCCCCTGTGTACGAGTACATACAGTACCACAAAGTACAGACACCGAGTGAGACTCGGTAGACTTCCGGGGTCTTTCGTCCACCCAGGGAGATGGAACTGGGAAAGTAAAGGCGAGACGACAGGCGACATTTGTGGCGGCGGGCGATTGCATAGATAGAACCCAGAAAATCCCTGTTTTCCCAATTCCTGTTATCTATGTACACGCCGGTACATGTCCACGAAGGTTCTAGAGGAGTCGGTCTGCCAGTGGTGGATACAACACCGGCAAATCAGATAGAGGAGGGGAGAGGGGAGAAATACATGTACATGTATGTATCGTAAAGTAGAGGTACATCGGAAGTATCCATTCAAGTTTACTCTCCTCCCTCCCGAAAGCGGAGTACCTACATGTGAATTGACACATTGCGTCACAGATGAGCCAGGGGGGGGGGCGCTCCAATTTATCTGAAGTTCGACAGAAAACACCCTCCCATGATCATCCAAGAGGAAGGAGGAATTTTAGGGGATTGTTGCTTTTCCTGTCAACCCCCTCGGCAGACCATTCCAATATCAGCCACAAAGCTTACCAACAGCCGGGATTGGCTTCTGTAAGGGGAAAAGGGTAGCCGTGTTGACGATTCCCAAAGGAGCAACAAGCTGGAAACAAGCGCATTGCGGCTCCTGAAGCGACCTTTCGCCGTGCAACGTTGGGTGGGTTGTGGGGGGGGGGGGGGGAATATCCGACACAGTTCTGCTTCTCTTGTTCCTAGGGATGTAGAGGCACTTTACCGCGACGGTAACACTGGGGAGAACTCGGTTAAAGTATTTTCCCCACTGGTAAGGTAGGCTAGAATACCATTGAGGATAATTTGGATATGTCTATCTCTATCTTGGTATGGGGGAAATTGTTGACATTTCTTGTTTGAAGCCCGGCCGGTGTGACGTTTGGACATGAAAACAGGCTACTTTCCTAAAACCGGAGAGAACTCATGATCATAATTGTGATTTCTGTCATTGTTATTAATTTATTATATCTTCTTATTCTTATTATTGTTTTCCGGAAAGCACGGTAGGGTCATGGAGAGTAGACCCCGAAACCGATAGTTTACATCCAAATCGTGAGCATTAAATGGCGTGTGTGCTCATAGGACAATGTCATGTTGTTATTGTAGCACCTAGGTAGTACCTTGATAAACCCACACCCACGTGTGGGTAGGCCAGGTACGAGAGTGGTACAGTCGGCCTAAAAGTTTAGTGTGGAGAAGCAAACAAACCCGAAACAGGGCCGTTGATCGGAAAGAGTGGGGGGTCTCTCCTCTCTGTCTGTTTCTTCTCCACGTTCTCCGATCTCACCTCCGAGAACGGCGCTGGACGTTTCCCCTTTCCCCAGGCTCTCTTTCTCCCTTCTGGCACAGGAGGCAACGGACAGGCAGGGAAGGGACTTCTTTTGATAACGCTCGTTGCCGGACAGGTTGGCGAAGATACCAAAACAGGTGTGTGTAGTAGGATCGATGGGCACCTAATCCCTAGTACTCTCTCTCTCGAGTCTAGAGTAGAGTAACTCTAGCCCGCACGGTGGCCGTTTGACCATCATGGACGAGGCTGGACGGGACGGGAAAGCACTCAAGAAAGGCTGCAGTGCAGGAGCAGTAGTAGCAGCAGTAGCAAAAGCTTTGGTTGCTTATTATTCATGTTACTTGCAGATGCTAGTACTGCTTCTTTTTCGAATTTCCCTGTGCAACAGCTTAGTCTCTCTTTCTCTCCCTCCCCCTGCCAGTTCGGTCGCGGTTGAAATTTTTTTTTCCCTCTGAAGGCGTTTTAGCGCGGTGTGCAAGGCGTGTACCACCGAGAACGAACCCACGGCGAAGGTGTTCGTTACTGTTGTGTATCTTTCCTTAGACAGGGTAGGGCAGGAGGGAACTGCGAGGGAGCAGCAGCAGCAGCAGCAGCAGCAAGTCGGTTGGGTTGCATGCGGTAGTATGCACCACAGGTTATCTCGAATGTATATATTCCCGCCCTCGCCCGCCCCGGTCAACTCTTTTATTCATACATAGGTTTCTTCTCTTTTTCTATTTTATTTTATTCTCTTCCTTCTTGAAAGATAAAACCCTCCTATAACCCACCTGACTGTCGCTTCGTGTTGACACCTTCGCTTCTTCTTCCAGTTATACTACAATCATTGTTGTCATTTCGTTTTAAGATCTCTCTTACTAGTAGCTTTTTAACCTTACCTACCACAACCTTACCTATTCCCATTTTCCGCACCGACCTACTAGTTAACCCACAACCACCCATACTATATCACCCTGACAGCCAGTCTTATTGTTACGCCTCCCTACTGTACCTCACCCCCCTAGAAGCCATATAAACACGGTCGTCCAATTCGCCTCACCACCTGCCCCTCCAAATCCTCATATCAATCGCGAAAGACTCATAATCAACAAAAATGCCTTCCTCAAACAACAACCTTTTCTTCATGGCCCTGTTCATGCTCCTCGCAACGCTGTTACTGGCCTCGAGTGTATCAGCCCAAAACAGCACCAATACTACATCCCCGAACGCTACTCTCTATAACACACCTACAGCGACCCCAGCAATCCAGGTACAAAGTAGCGCAAACACACTGAAATCGACGGCTGCTCTGTTCGGCGCTCTCATTGCTGTAAGTTTCTCCTGAGGATTTCTGGAGAGGTGTTTTTTTGGTTGTTACAACATACTAACAATTCGCTAGGCTGCGGTATTCTCATTATAAACTAATAATAAATGTGCCGCCGTCGAACTTCTTTTTAGAGTGTACGGGTAGAGGAGGGATATTGCAAAAAATTGGTGAATTCGAAACTCTCAACCAAAAGACCGGACGATCACACGGTACCCAACGCAACCTCCCGTTCTTCGTCTGACTCCTCCTTTAAAAACCAAAAAAAAGAAGCGCCAATTGGAAAGCCAACAAAAAAAAAAAGTTGTGACGGTATAAAAAGGAACAACGTGTCTTTTTTTTTCGCTACAAAAAAACCTCTCTCTCTTTCGTTTGTTTATTTTACAACCTTTCACAACTTACCTTTCTACCTCTTCACCTGGCTTTTTTTTATACACGAACTTTTAATTACGCTTCGATTTGATTACCAACAAATGGGCACCCTTTTAATTATAACGGCTCCGGCTCCGGCTACTCCCTCCCCCAGGTAGAGGGGTAGGATCATGGCGTTTATGCATCATGCTTTTCTTTTCTCGCCTTCTTTTCTTGGTTCTGGCTGTTGCTGGGACGAACTTCTACTATTACTAGGAAACTTTAATGAACTTGTCGTTTGTTTCTGTTTTTTTCCTTCTTTCTTTTTTCGTACTGGGATCTTTTGCAGTGGGGGAGTAGAATTGTTTTAGTGCTGTTTTTTTCTTCTCATTTGAGTCTTCTTTTTGCTTTGGAGTGGGGCACTTGTTTTTTTGCTTGTTCACTTTCGACACTCGAAACTCTTCTTCTGTTGATGATATTCTTTTTTTGACGGTTACGATACCCATGTATATATATATATTTTTCTTGACGTGAAAGAGGTGGAAAGGATGGAATGAAAGATGAGAGAGGATCAAATAAAGATCATACTACAAGTACCGGTTCAAGTTCAGTTGCGAAGGGTTTTGTTTAAGCTTCATGCTTGCTCACTCGTTGACATGTTCAGGGATTTGTTCATGCAGCCGGGTTTCAAATACGGCTAAAGCAGAGCAGAGTAAAGAGTAACGATTTCTTGTTCACACACAACCTCTAGATAGAAAGACATGCAAAATTAACTTAGGATGGTAAAGTAGCAAATACGTTTGAAACGCCTCCGTCTGGAGGCTCAGCGAAGACATCGATGATAAAGATGAGTCTTACAAATTTTACGGTACCGGTACATGAGCGACAGTGGGAATGCGTTACGTGTGTCCCTGGAGCCTTTAGTACACGGCGACTACATGTGATAGCATTCAAAAGCAATCACCAATAAAGGTACGAACGAATAATATGGCAGGGTGGCCATGTCCCACTCTGACCCTCCCCCCCTGCATGCACTTTGTCCAATTCATGATATCAATCCGGCACGGTAACTCTTCAATTTCCCCCAACTCCGGTCGGGGTGAACAGTGCCGCTATGAACCAGAAAAAAGTCTCAAGCATGGACACCGTTCTGTGATGTACCATTGGGTTTCCCCTTACCTGGCGTGCCGACCGTCCCAACCGATCCGACCGTACCAGTCCTCAATTCCACATGCGTAACCTCTTGCTGTGGAATTTCCTCCTCTAGATCCGTATCATCCCCTACATCTTCTTCGGAGCCTTCCTCCGAGCCTTCTTCATCATAGCCATCTGCCGAGTCTTCATACTCGTCACTGTCGCCGTCCGAATCCTCTAATAGATCATCTCCATCATCCCCATGCCGCAGCCTGTTTTCGAGAGTGGTGCGTTCAGCTTGCAGCGCACGGCAAAGATTCTCAAGCTTGATATTCTTCTTTTTAAGGGTCTCCAATTCCTTTTGGTGGCGGGTGCGTTCTTCTGCCATTTCTAAGAGGTTACGGTTGGTGGTTTCAGATTTTCGGGAGAGTGTGAGGTTCTCTTTTTCCAGGCGTTTGGTTTTCTTTGACATTTCCTCCATTTCTTTACGGAACGTGAGAAAGAGATCGTTGGAGTTATTGAGCGTGTCTTCGACCTACACAGAATGAAATAAAATTTCAGATGTTGGTTACCTGTGTTATAATACTTCCCCATAATGACGATACAATACCATGAGCAGCGATGCTATGATAGATAGATGTGAATATGAACGGATGGTTATTATTCACCTGCTTAAACTTCTCTACGTAGATATTGAGTTGAGAGCGTAACTCTGCTTCAGTCTGCGAGAATGTGGAGACTTGTTGGTGCAGAGCTTTTGCGCGAAGCGATTCCTGTTCCGCTAGTTTTTTCTGTTGCTCGTAACGTGAAAGGTTCCATTGGACCTCAAGTTCTTTCGTTTTAAGGAGAGAGGTGAAGTGGAGCTCTCGGAGCTCGTATTGATCCACGAGACTTTTAAACTTGGCTTTAAATCTTGGTTTCGCACCTGCAATATCAGTTGTCGATGCTCTATATACCAAAGGCGAGTTCGAGTAAGGGTTTTTTTTTTACAGTTCATCGGCTTCCATATTGACCTTGCGGCTGCCACCATCATTTTCTTCTTCCATACGGCTCTTGATGTCCATAAGAGTACTCTCAAATTTGTTCGACAGTTCCTCACGCTTTTGCTGCTCCTTCTCGGCGTGCTTTTTATTGTCGTCCTGTAAATCCTGAATTCAGTAAATTTGGAATTTAGAACCACCCACATACTGCAGTTGATTAAAGGGAGTGTGTACCTTGATCCTCTTATTCTCTTTCTGAAGTTCCCGGCAAAGACTCTCAAGCTTGTGTTTCACGGTAACAGCTTTCTGCATTTCTGACCTAGATTGATCCCTTTCTTTCTGTAATTGGTCTGCACGTTTACGAGCCTTAGCATGGTCTCTTTCAAGCCGCTTCATCTCGTGCAAAAGCTCGCTGTATTTTGTCTGTATTGCGTCAACTTTAGCCAGATGATCATCACGACCAGAGACGAGTTCTGCCAGCTCCTTATTTGCCTTGCGCACAGCACGAGCTGAGTTACATCGTCAGCATATCCAACTCTCATATATAATGGGTTCGGATATTTCGCACATATCGCCTTCTCTTCCTCTTCCTCCATCGAAGCATCGGACTCCAATTGCGATATCTTTGCAGCCAACAGACTGTTGACCTACACACCCGACCAAAACATTCCGTCAGCCCGATCGATTCCAACATCTTTTCACCAAGACAATAGCCGGGGCGACAAAATCATCCTTCCCGTACACAATTGCAATTCTCACCTCCGAGGGGTCCAGCGTTTTCTTCGGCTTTGGCCCTACCCCTACCCCTCCCCCTTTCTTGTTTGCCACAGGTGCCGGTATAGTGGGGATTGGGAGAGGTGGGGTTGTGTTTGAAGACGGTGACTCGGAGTTGCCGTGGTCGTTGCATGCAGTGTGGCCCATGTCTCCGCCCGTTTCTCCGTTGACGATGGCCGTTTTTGATTTTGCGTTTCTTTGCGGTTGCGACTGGGGCTGTGATGCGTGGTCCGCGAGAGCAGCCATGAACGAGATGGGGTGTTGTATGTTAGGGCTCTAGTGACCTGCGGATGCGTGAAGCGAGCAGTGGCAGGGGAGCGGGGCCTGGGCGATGTTTGTATGGTCTGTGGGCGGTCGTGTGGAGAAGTGGTCGTGAGATGCTAGGTGACGGTTGGGTCTCACACCCTTGAAGAAATCACCGGGTAGGTTTGGGGTTTTAGGGATGTGAAAATTTAGATCTTAGTGCCTAAATTTGGCATTTCCCCACCGCCCACTATGTATAATGACGTCTTTTTTTCGATATCTGAGAATTATGGCTGTTATTTTATATTGACTTCCTAAATACAATCTGGTTTGACTTTAATCAAGGGGGAGGCTTCGAGAAGAAGGGACCAGGGTGAGAATTACTATCACTCACTTGGTTTTTCAGACTTTGAGCGATGATAACGAAGGTGATGATAGTAAGAAGGAGAAATCAAAAGGAGTGATGATGACAATTAAGGGTCCATGAGGATGATTGATAACCACCTAGGAGTAGCACCAAGACTGCAGAGTCGGGCGGAAATGTCAGATGTCAGATGATGAAGATCTACGAGCGGGAGTATTATTTTAGTGTTATGTAGCTCCCCCTTCATCCTTTACTTATATGTCCTTCTCTTCCCATTATTGCACGTTTATCTGGCCTCATCTTCTGCCCTTTCAGTCACCAGATGCATTGATGCACAAACAGTGTAAAGTTAATTGGCTAGCCGTAGCTTGCGTACCACGTAATTGGGATTGTCTTTTTGGAAAGAGCGTGAAGGCACGTCTGAATAAAGCTGTTTTTAAGCCATTCTTATAAGCAAAGCTTAGAGTGTTCGAACATATATTCCCGCATTGGGAAAAGGTTGACATCATTGAGAGAAAGAAAAAGTGTTCTCGAAGCCTTCTCAATCCCCTGGCAGTTTCACACCCTTGCATCATTCCATCGTGCGCTTCAACGTCAATCAATCAGTTATCAAGACAATTGAAACATTGATTATACCCGACGGACCTTTGATAGAATGCTGCGTGGAAGCCTGTCTCTCGGACGTCAGCTCACAAATAGGCAGAGCCCCGCGATATGGCGTTCAAATCGACGATATGCCACTGCTTTCACTGATCTGAGTCAATTTCCAAAGGCTGGCGAGAAGCTCTACGGCTTCACTGTTAAGAGAGCAAAGACTGTGCCTGAGCTTGAGCTAGCAGCGATTCAACTCACTCACGACAAGACCGGCGCAGATTATATTCATGTGGCGAGGGAGGACAAGAACAATATTTTTGCAGCTGGATTTAAGACAAACCCAGACGATGATACAGGAGTACCGCATATCCTCGAGCATACAACCCTTTGTGGATCTGAGAAGTACGGATGAACTGGTTTCAAGTGTCCCTGGAACGATTGAGGCGGAAAGCTGACGATTATCTGTAAAAAGATACCCAGTCCGTGACCCATTTTTCAAGATGTTAAATCGGAGTTTATCGTACGTTATACTATATAGACCTATAACACAGGGCAGTAGGGCTAAAATCAAACTAGGAATTATATGAATGCTTTCACCTCCAGTGACCACACTACGTATCCGTTTGCAACTACGAACCCAATCGACTACGAGAATCTTCGCGATGTTTACCTTGACGCCACACTGAAACCCCTTCTGAAAGAATCCGATTTCAAGCAGGAGGGATGGCGGGTTGGCCCGGAAGATATCAAAGATCCAAACTCCCCGCTCTTGTTCAAGGGTGTAGTATACAACGAGATGAAAGGGCAAATGTCTGATGCTTCTTACTTGTTCTATATTCGCTTTCAAGACCACATCTTTCCAAGCATCAACAACTCTGGAGGGGACCCACAGAAGATAACCGATCTGACATTAGAGCAACTGAGAGAATTTCACAAAAGACATTACCACCCGAGCAACAGCAAGATATTCACATATGGGGATATACCACTAGAAACGCATCTGCAAAAGCTTAACGACAAACTTAGTGTTTTCGATAAGATTGAGGTTGAGGAGGATTTAAGAGAACCTATTAAGCTTGATCAGTCAAAGAGAGTAAAAGTCTATGGGCCCATTGATCCGCTTATGGACAAGGATTCGCAATACAAGACTTCGGTCTCATGGACTATGAACGACACTGCGGACACAGTTGAAACTTTTGGATTAAGGATTTTGTCGACGTTGTTGCTAGACGGATATGGTTCACCGATGTACAGAGGCCTCATTGAGGCTAAATTGGGTTCAGACTTTTCTCCTAACACTGGGTTCGATACGGGCTCGAAGAGAAGTATTTTTTCGGTCGGCCTTCAGAACGTAAGGATAGAAGATGTGCAAAAGGTTGAAGACACGATCCATGAATGTTTGAAAGACGTCAGACAAAAAGGGTTTGATCAGAAGAAGATCGATGGGGCCCTTCATCAACTAGAACTCGCTTTGAAGCATGTAAGTGTGATGCCGTCTGACGGATATTCCGAATGTTATACTTACGACCCATCGCTAGAAAACCGCAAATTTTGGCATGTCAGTAATGCAAGGCCTTACTCCTGCCTGGCACAATGGCGTTGATCCCTTCGATGTCCTCGCCTGGGAATCCACTGTCTCTGCTTTTAAAGAAGCTTATAACAAAGGCGGCTATTTTGAAGGTCTTATGGATAAATATCTTCTCAACACCAACAATTTGGTGTTTACAATGGCACCCTCCAGAGATTACACTACTCAGATTGCTGAAGAGGAAGTAGAGCGTTTGGGCGTAGAGATCTCAAAGATTGGTGACGAGGTGGCCGCTCGTGAGATCCTGACGAAGCAAGAAACAGAGCTAGCGGAGTTGCAGGAACAGGCAAAGCAGCAGGACTTGAGCTGTTTGCCGACGCTTAAGGTCGAAGATATCCCGAAGACGACAGAGAGAAAGGAGCTGTGGCATACCAAGATTGGAGATGTTCCAGTACAGTGGAGGAAGGCGCCGACAAATGGGTTGACTTACTTTAGAGCCATCAGCACATTCAAGGACCTTCCCGAAGAGCTTCGTCTCTATCTTCCTCTTTTCACCGAAGCTATTCTGCGTCTTGGAACTGCCAGGCGTTCAATGGAAGAGCTTGAGGACCAAATCAAACTTAAGACTGGTGGTATCAAGGCTGGCAATCACATCTCCACAAGTCACTCAAACCTTGAGGTTACAGAAGAAGGGCTAGTTTTTAGCGGGTTTGCGCTTGATAGGAACATCCCAGATATGTTTGAGCTTCTTAGGATAATTTTGTTGGAGACAAGTTGGACCCATATTTCAAAGCTGAGGACTCTCGTACAAGGCATCGCGAGTGGGTTTGTGAATAGTCTTGCAGAGAGTGGACATGCCTATGCTATGACCTTTGCGGCAGCACATCTGACTCCGGCTGCTAGAGTGAAGGAGGTCTCAGGAGGAATGACGCAGGTTCGACTTATTAGTCACATGGCGAACAAGGAGTTCTACATTGATGCCCAAGCGAAACTAAGAGAAATTGCCAAATTCGCTGCTCGTCAAAATGGCTTCCGAGCTGCCATCACCTGCGGCACCGAGGCCGTATCCTCTAATGAAGCCGCTCTATCAAAGTTTCTGGAGAGCCTTCCAAAAGTTGAATCTCCCACCGAAGATAACATCGGCTCCTTCGACTTGACGGTTCCCTCTAAAGCCTTCTTCCCCCTCCCATATCAGGTTTCGTACACAGCCATGTGTATGAAGACTGTCCCTTACACTCATCAGGACGGCGCAGCACTCCAAATCCTCGCGCAGCTGCTCACTCATAAGCATCTCCACCACGAAATCCGAGAGAAGGGCGGTGCGTACGGAGGCGGTGCGTTCCACAGGGGCACCGGAGGTGTTTTCGGATTCTACAGTTACAGAGATCCAAACGTACCTAATACTTTAAAGGTTATGGAAGGTGCTGGTGAATGGGCGGCAAGAAACGAGTGGAGTGATAGGGATTTGGAAGAGGCAAAGCTGGGAATTTTCCAAAGCGTAGATGCCCCCTACGCGGTTTCGTCGGAGGGAATGACATACTTCGTGGATAGAATTACAGACGATATGAGACAGACGTAAGTATCAATTCTCTCTCTCTATTCTGATGAAACAGTATTCTGATGGAGTGAATGAAAATAGTCGCCGTGAACAACTCCTTGCCGTCACTGGAAAGGACATTCAGAAAGTCGCGGAGAACTACTTGATCAAGCAGATTAATTCAGGGCAGACGGCGGTCGCCGTCCTGGGTGAGAAGAAGGAGTGGTCGACTCCTGAAGCTGGGTGGGATATCTTCCCGCTGAGCTTGGAATCCGAGAAGGATGCAAAGGTGACGCTTTAGAAAAAAGTAGAATATTGGTTTCATCTTTGGTTGAGTTGGGATGCATAAATGTAAAAATAGATGGCTTTATCTTTGATTCTCCACTTTTAATGATATGGACTGTGTCGAGTAGTACATATTTCATGCCGTATACGCTTCTTTTCTTCAAATGTAATCGCGTGATGGGCTGTGACGCAATATCGTATCCCTGGCTATAGCATTATATTTACAAGATAGAATTAAAAAAAACGAATTTGAAGTCTCATGCCGGGAGGCTGCATGTGCTTGATGAATCAATTAATTAAAGGGATCTTATGAAATTGACTCGAATCGAGGGTTAGGTGTGACATTGCCGCCTGTTAACGATAGAGCCTGACTGGGGTCTGATCATGAAGTCTGACTCGAAATGTTCTGGCCCACTCAGGCAATATATCGGTAAACCGCTTATTCGAACCATAGATGCCAAATATACACTGGAGTGGATGTGTCTAGTTTAGTTTATTCTAGATAAATTACAAGGAGTGCACTGGGTTTGTTGAGACTGAGGATAAAGTCCTTATGTTCATATTCACCTGCATGCATGGCTATTGCACGGATATTTATCCACTGAGAGGTTGGATGATTCTACCGACAGCAGAGCTAAGGTGCTACACCTCTAAGTGTTAAGTAACACCTAGAATTCGTGGCTTAATACTCTATC